TATTTTATATTTATTACATTCAAAGGCTCACAAGGGCGACGCTACGTAATTTGAATTATAATTTATTATCCGCAAACTGCAATAAGAGTATTGAATGATTCTGAAAGAATATGCTTGAGTGATACAAATTATTATGAAAATATACGTTTATTATTAGTGAAAATATACGTTCATTATTAGTGAATTCTTACGTGCTTTTCTTTATTAAATTCTTTACGCATTTAATTCTGTACCTTGCTTGAAAGATATCGCGATATTTCATAACTTTGATTGGAATATTAGTGGCGTGTCTTGGAACTTGTCCCACTTCTTCTTCTTCTTCATCATCATCTTCTTCTTCTTTTTCTTCTTCTTCTTCTTGATTTTTCGTATCGTGAACGTCAATGCGACGTTAAAGTTTTCGCTTTTCGGACCTCACGTGACACGAATGTGAACACTTAATTCGCGTGACATCGCATAAACGGAGTACGAGATTTGGTATATGTACAAAAAACTTTTATAATTGAATTATAAACTTTTACGTTGACGATGTACTTAGATATAAACTATCTTTTACAAATTATAAGTTATATCGTGTATTTTTTATGCTTTCCTATGCAATACCTCATAATTTCCTTTCAGAGAGATCTCTCGGAGACGCGCGGTAAGCGCGCTATTATTCTCCTTAAACTGTCGCGAGACAAGAAATATGAATACTTCGAGGAGCCTCGAAAATCCTCTTTCCACTCGTCGTTTCGCTCCCGCATTACTTCTTCATTCGAGCTCTCCTAAAACATTCTTTCTTACGAAGATCTCGAGCCATGGTACTGCGGCGCACCGCGACGTAGCGTACCTTCAACTCTTTACTCAGTAACGATGCTGCTCCTCGAAGCGAGACATCAAAGTTCCCGGCTTCCAGGACGGAGACGCCAGGTGAATGCAAGCTGCCAAATGGAAGATCCGCACGCACGGCATCCGAGCCGCGTCGCGCCGCGACGGCTAGGATGCACACGCCGCGCCGCGCCGGTGAACGCTCCGGCGCACGCTGGAAAGCTTCTGGGTCACGAACGAACATCGGCGGGGGTTACGCCCCCCGACCGGCGTCTGCTCCGTTATTTCCAGCGCGCGTGAGAAGTACACACAGCGGAGGAGAAGCGAAGCGGCGAAGCGGAACGCCAAAGTTTCTTTCCAACCCCGCGGAAGCGGCGGAAGTGTCTATACGCGAAGAGGGCGCTGCGCCGTGCCGCGTTGTAACGAGCAACCGAGATCCGGTTGCAAATGTGTAAGCGCGCGGAAATTATCGAAGTAGTCGGCGAAATGGGTGAGATCATAGAAACGCCGCGTTCTCCCCCATCCGCATTTCCCGGAACGAGCGAAAACGCGGTCTTGTAGACCGCCGCGCCGCGCCAGCTGCACGCTGCCGGAAATCTTACGATTATGGTCATTGCGCTAGTTTGGACACCGTATCGCCGCCGCGGAGTGGATAAGGCGAGTCCCGAAACCCGCCAGACCGTTAACGCGGTTTAGACAGTGCGGCGCTTTAGATGATGAAGTTATCATCGCGCCGAAGGTGACGAAGTTAATATCGCGCGTCTCTCGGGTGAGACATCATGATCGGCGCGCAGCGACGCGCTCTGCTAATCCAAGCTAGGAGATATTCTCAGAAATATCCACCGGATCTGAGAAAATGGAACGTCTTTGCCTTTCCTACGTCACCTCTCAAGTTCCGGGAGGGAACGGGGTTGGACTCGTACATGTCGATGAACTTGTTGAACTTGAAGATATCAAGAAAGTTGAACGTTGAAGTTACACTGCAGTGTTCGAAGTAGTACGTGGCCGATCTTATGTACGTTACACCTACAAGAATTCATACTCGAGTTTCAACTGACGAAGTTGACAGTATCTCTTCGAATATCTTTTCGATTCGTATTCTAGGGCAAGTTTACATATTGAACGACGTAATACGAGCCAGTCAAGTCAGCTGTTAGCGACTATTTACTTGACATCAAACGCATGGCATCGTCGATTTGCCGACATTACTTCAGTCATGCGGCTTATTCAGGCTTGTCACAGTCGTAGTACCTTGGCAAACAAGAACATTTGACTTTGCCACGACTTTGTCAGACATTGCCTATTCTTATTTGCTTTTACCTCCGCAAAAGTGAAGCTGGCAAGAATTGAGAAGCTATTGAGAAACTCAAGAATAGATAATCTAATA